AAAAGACAGCTGTATAACACCGCACAATCTGGGCTCTGTTTACAAGGCTGCAGGCCTGGCTGAAATATTCGGGCGTCAATAAAGGTCAGCTGTCAACTTAGAGTAGTGCCTGAAGATTACTCTGTGCGGCTATAAACGACTGTTAAATGGAATGATGAATTGTTGAAGGATTTTGAAAACGGAAAAAATGATAGTCATGCCGGCCCAGCATCCTCAATGTTGAAAAATGCCCCGGTCCGAAGTGGTTAACTGCCCCAAACTTAACTGACTTACTGATTCAAAACAAATCACCAAACAAATCAGAATCAATAGCATATCATGAGTGTACGCTAGAATTAATCAAGACAGTCATAGGCTTCCAAAACTCTTCAACAGGTTCACTGGTAATACGAAAAGCCGGTTTTTATAGGCCTTGTTGCTACTCGGTTGACATTACAACAGTGGAAGGTCAAAACTGTATCAGGAAGACGGTGGACGTTAAAGTTTAAAACCCAAGTCTGTTCAGCACCTCTGCACATTATCAATGCAACCTTTGTTAAGCATTACGATATATTTGTCATTGCTCTAATGTACTACAGAGGAAGCCCAGAAACACAGGCTGTGTTGTGATTAACAATATTGTTTAAAGCAGGTTCATTTATTTTGTCTTTGTCTAGTGAGTCTTTGCTGGATACTACTTTGTTGGTTCCCAAGCTTTATCAAGAGATACTCAACACTTTTTAATATGGGCGATTTACAATAATTTGTATCCAAGGGTTTGCAACGTATTACCCAATCACAACACACAAAATCTGTTGACCAGACTTTCCAAACGCACATTGCACTGACAGATTTCATGCATTATGATTGGCCAACGTGTTGCAAACTTTTGGGGCGCGCTATTGTAAATCACCTGTACTAGCTCATTAGTGCATACCTGTTTTAAGAAGCAGCTGGCAAAAGTCAGCTACATTAGACTGGAATGCCCTGTCACCGATTCCAAGCATGACGGTCTCACTGCTCATGCTCAGAATAACCTGCAATGATTGTATTCAGGACAAAAACTCCTGATTGAACATTTGGCATTGTTACCAGAAAAACCTATCAAGACAAAAAAAACCATGCAGCTAGCTCAAATGAGATTGCTGTAATAGTAAGTAGGCCAGTCCATTTGTGCATGAAAGTGAATGAAGATAATGCAATTGATTGCCAGCAGAATGACTGCAATGTACATTCCAATCAATCCAAAAGTCAACATCATCTCACCAAAGCACAAAATATTTTGGAGGCCTGGAAAAATACAACCTTTTCCCTAAAATGGATGAGTTTAAAAAACACCCCTAGAGAAAAAAACTCTTTGAGTAAATCAAGTATACTCAACCACCGCACAATTAATTGTCTTCTTAAACTCTCTGAAAATAGTTTAAAAAGCAGTTTTGTTACACCTGTCAAGACAATAGGTGTTATCTTGCTTGCTTTTAGAGTGTCATTAAGGAAAAGAGCTGTGATGGGAGAATACGTTAATAAAAAGCACAGCATCCCATCGTGCAGTAAAAAAAATATGCACCATGCTCTCTGTTTAATGGATTGTAAACAAATGATTTCATTGTCTTTTTCATTAGCAAGAGTTCATATCTCAAGTGGTTGTAAAATCCAATTTTGTCCAAACATAATTGACATACCTTCAGGATTTCTTTCCCAAGATGAAGTAGATTCTTCTCAGACTTGTCCATCGCCATTCGTTTAGCTGTCGGGCAATCGTCCTCAGATCGGCAATCTGTTCCGAGGTCTGCTCCCCTTCGTATCATGGGTAGTATCTCCCTATCTGCCCAAGCAAGGAGCTCAGTCAGACTGCTTGCTGCTCCCTCAAGGAAGCTTGAATCCTGATTCTGCATAGACATGACAATTTGGGTAATTCCATGGGTACAGACTGACATGTTGGAAGGGATCATCACAGCTTATCCTGTTCCGTCGAACGGATGGCTTCAATGATTCGGTTACTACAAAGAAATATCAAGACTCAGGTTCATGGAACTCCTTAGCAGAGAAGGTATTACTCAGGTCAAAAAGTTGTGCTTCATGTTTCACAACTTGCCCTATTTTGACCCTATTTTTTATGGGGGAAATTTCGAGGAAAATGTGAAATGAGAAATGAGGAAGTGTATCCATTGTATTTTAAACATCGTGCAGAAAGTTTCAACAGACATGCTTCTCTGCAAAACAAAGTGTTGTTCATTTCATTTGAAACAAATGCCACTAGATCTAACTTGCCGTTGTTATTTTTAACTCATCAAAACTCAGCGGCAGACTGAATCTGTATAGGAAGAAAGCGCCCAAAAATCCTACCTGCCTAACTTTCAGATGGCCTTAGTATCTTAACGTACTGAGCAAAATTCAGCCGGGGACCAGCCACAAGTATTATATCAAACATACCATATTGATTGGTATCCAGTTCTGATTAGCAAATGACAGCAGCACCTGGAAAATGTATGCCCTCAGTACAGCCACAAACCTGGAGCCCAGATGATAGCACGATTTTGTCTCACATTACAGGCTGTCACTAGAGCAATGTTGTAGTTGAGAACATCACAAGACTAGGCAAAAGATCATTCACAAGACCAGTCAGAGGACCGGACACATGACCATCAAAAATAACAAGGTCAACAGTGACAAAGGAAGGCTTTTGTTGCATGGTTCATCTGAACAACTAGGGACTTGAATTCAAACTGGAGTTCTTGGGTCGGTCTTGTCATGGTCTTGCGATAGTTTCAAGAAATCTCGACTACAGCACCGCACTAAACACATCCATGTCCGATTTTCTCACCAGCTGACCAGATGTAAGATGGATTTGGAGTCTACAGTACATCTGGAGGGATCCCACCATGACCTCATCAGTGGCTAGGTCACTCAAGGGGTCAGGGGTCAGCAAACGCTGCTCTAGACATGGCTGAAAATGAGAGAATTCATACTAATATAACTTTTCTGATAAACTGAATATTAGCCGCTGAAAATGCTTGGTGAACTTTTGGGTGAAGTTTAAGTTCAAAGTTTAATTCATGGAAAGACTCCACATAAATGATGGTACATGCAAAGATATATTATTGTACTTACGTCACACTAAGTCTATTTAAAAAAGGTCGAGCCACGTTTTTACAACCTTTCTGTACCTAATGACAAACACTTCATATCCAACTATCCTTATATTAAAGACAAATCGACTTTCAAAATTGTTTTTTCTCAAAATTTTGTGACTTTAGGGATGCTGGTCACATTCTTGTTCAGAGAAGCCAGACAAGTCAAGATGTACTTTGTTGAGGCCTAAACTTACCGAGTGTTAAATAAGACACAATCAGGCTTTTGCTTACAAACTAAAATCCCTGGTGCCTCTTTTATCAACATTTCAACATACATGAAGCAGTGTCTCTAGGAAACACAGTAAAGTAGAAACAAAGAAATAGAATAGATATAAATGAGAGAATTCTTCACTGCTTGATAAATGCCAAAAAGCTTTTCTTCTTACTAGGGTAGTCTTGAGGGTGGAGGTGAGATCTTGAAGCTTATCCGAGCAGGACGCCAGCAGAACAGACAGGCAGGGGAAATGAGACAGGAGCCAGTCCAGATAGCTCAGCGCAAGAGATGGCCGTGGCTGAACAGGGTCACGGAAGCTAACTTGCCGAGATTTCTTGGACAAACACAAATATCAGTGTAAATATAATTGAACGAAGTCAATTTGACGTTAAACACAAAGATTCCAGCCTCTTGCCTGATTTTGCCAGGAGGCTCTCGGAAAGCTACTGCGATAACATACAACGGAAACTACCCTCGAACAAGGCTAACAAAACAGGAATTGTTGTTTGTAGCTGAAGGGTCTGTCATGTTTTCCTATATATACAAGCAGCTGCTAAAAGTATGGCAGGCTGTCAGTACAAAAAGTAAAAGAATAATTCCTAAGGTGTTACAAATGCCAGGTACCTTTTTGTATCAGAACACCAAATAATACAAATACTACTAAATACTAAAAGAAAAAACAACCCTATCTAAAATTAATAAGACAGATGTCCATTTTGAACAAATTTGAGGTAACATCGAAAACCAACCAAAAGGTGATATTTCTGCCAACTTTGGCCACCCATACAAGTTGTAGGCAAAATGAGAGTGGTCTATGTGTACTGTGCATGTCAGTGTCAAAGAATCTGGTTTAGACATGACCATACGTGGTTAGATACGTTGGTGCAAAATGTGAGACAGCCATGCTCATCTGTCGCTTATAGTTTTCCCAGATTGTATCTGCTCTACACGTGAGCAAGCCGTTTGGGCAAAGACTGTTATGTTATTTATTTACACTCGGTGCATAATGCAGCAAGGGTGTGATAAAACCTGCTCAGCAGTCACGTTGGAACATTACGTCATGAACGCGTCATGAATAAACATCTGTCGCACTACCAGCAGGGATCATTTACAATTTATCATTTATCTCAAATTTTGTGAGAAGGAATTTCTTGTTTAAATGACTTTCATTTCGGAATAAAATTAAAGGAGATACTGATGTGTTGAAGGAAGAATTTTATAAAATACTAGAAATGCTTCATGACCAAATAAACCACTCTATGAGTAATGAAACATTGTGAAAACTTGTTTCCAACGTGTCAGAGACACTGCTTTTATATATCAGTTATCTCCAGTTTAGCAAATAATACAAATTTGATGCAATTGTATGTAGGCCCATTACAATACCATCCCAAGGCAGACTGAACTGGTCAAAAACACTCACCTTCTTTGATTTTGGACTGGTCCTGAGTGCAGCCACCAACCAATCAGATATGAGCTCCAGCACATCTGAGCCCCTCCCCCAGGACACTAGACACTCCAGGAGGGGTCCAAAGTCAGAAGAGGTGGCAGAAGGTGACATGGTCTTCAGTGTTGTCAGACAGCCCCGACTGTCAAAGCAAAACAAAGGTTTCTGAAATTATTTTCTGAATGATCACTCTGACCCCAACAATTATTGAAGATATGTCTTTGAACACTTCCTTTCCTAAACATATCCTGTTAAAGATGTGATTTGAAACATTAAAGCATTTCAACAGTGAATGCGCAATTAACTGCAGACTCATAATACTCTGACAGCAATTCTTCAGACTTTGTAAGGGCATAAATTCTGCTCGGCACACTTTTATGCCAGGCTAAACTTACAGTTTTAAGTTTGGTCATGGTCAGTTTTTAAACATAAAAAATGGTCCAACAATGCATTAAAGATGTACTTGTACACCGGGTGTACAGTTGATGCTTTGAAAAATACTAAATTGCTACAAACTGCTCAATGACAAAGTGAACGGATACAACTTGAAAATAATAAATTAAGGGCCCGACCAATCCGAGCAGATTCTCAAAGGCAAACAGAACATGTTGAACAAGAATGCCATGTTAAGTTAAGAATGGATGGACAGAAACATTACACGCACGAAAGGACAAGGAAACATGATATACCCCGGTAACTTTGCCAGCAGAACATGAAACAAACTTACCACCTTTAATAAATAAATACAGTGCATCACTGACAAACCTGAATGTTGGAATTGATGACGACGGCACATATCCAGCGATGACTAGAACAGCCGACAGAGCACGACCCTCCTGCAAGGGAGGAATGATTGAACACTGATAACAGCAAGGAAGCTCACCGCAAGTAGCCTTCGGTATGTGACGATTTCAAAGACGGTGGAAATCAAACAAACCAACACGAGAATACGCGTGAAGGGAGAGTGGCATGTCAGAGATGCAAATCCATGGGAAGAGTTTATTTTGAATAATGGAATAAAGGTGAGATGACCTCAATCTTAACAAGGATATCAATGACCGACTGATCACAACATCAGTATCCAAGTTTTTGGGCCCACTAACAACCTTGATCAATAGCCCTGATCACATGACAAACAACGTATCATCTTTAACATGAATTAAGCACTGCCTTCAGAGCCAACATTTTTATGTACTTCCATCTGATAGGTTCAGGGCAATTTGGCTCAAAATTGGGCTAACCATCACGGGAGCAAGTATTTGCTCCCTAGACAGCTGAATTTGTCAGTTTACGGGAGCAAGTAGCTTCTATATATGTTCTGGAATACTAAACAACTATAGGCCAAACAAAATAATGATTGTGCTTCCTATTACATTGAAGAAAAATAGATTCGGTATGTGGGTAGCATCTTTTTTTTCTTCTTAAGTTTTAGTCAAAAATTTTAGGGTGGGTTTTTTTTTTTCAAATTAAGAAGTACTTTTGATGTTCTACGGTGTACTCCATTCAAGTTTTTTTTTTTGCAGATTTGTAACTTGAGGACCGGTCTTGTCAAAGATTGTATCCAAGTCAGACCCTCTTCGGACAATTATACATCTGTTTTGCACTGACATTTCAATGAGTTAATGTCCAAAAATTGTTTGAAAGCTCCCACAAAATGATGCAGAGAGCACTTCAAACCTGCATGATGATGCATGACACAGTAACTTTGTGCACCCCGTACCAGTTGTCATGAAACCCTCTATCGGCAAAAGCCAAAATGTACTAACCTCATTTCAAGCCATAAAATGAAATGGGTGCTACAGTGAGTTACAGTGGAAATTGTTATTCTGATTTGAGGTAAAAAAGTTCAGGAATTATTTGTGGCAAGAATTGAATAAAAAGGGCATTAGTATTTACAATTTTCTTTATAATTTAGGAGCACATCTATGAGAAATATGGGCACTTACCTACCTGTGGCCAATAATTTTGAGCCCTGGGTATAATCATTTTGGGTATTTTGGAAAACAAATGCTTGGACAGGAAACTTCATGTGGTGCCAAGCTTACTGCATTCATACCTGGAAGACAGTCAGGAACTCTGGTAGAGCCTTGCTGAATCTAGACACAAGCTGCTTCTTAGTGGTTTGATTCTCAAGCTTCAAAGATAAAACAGAGACAAGAGGAAAATGGTTACATCCACAACCAAACCTGGCAGAATAAATGGTCACATCCACAACCAAACCAGGCAGAATAAATGGTCACATCCACAATCAAACCAGGCAGAATAAATGGTCACATCCACAATCAAACCAGGCAGAATAAATGGTCACATCCACAATCAAAACAGGCAGAATAAATGGTCACATCCACAATCAAACCAAGCAGAATCCAAGCAGATTAAACTTATGTTCCCAGTTCGTATGTGCTTGAATGCTGAAATAATGAAGTACACCAAGTATAGAAGTACATTGTAGTTGAATTCCAAAGGAAATCGGTGATGATATTTTGAAGATCTTTAAGGTATCTTTTATCAAGGCAGCATGCCTCACGTTTGCTTTTACAAGCTCCAACCCCTTATTCTGAAAATGATGCAATGAAATTCAACGATAATGCAAAGGCCTTGGCTGGCAACCTGAGTTGATTAAGCACCTTAGCCAGTTGATCATTGATCCCTGTCCACAGCACAGCTATGATCTCCAGCATTCCTTCCATGATGTCGGCGTCCTGCAGGCTCAAGCTTTCCTCATCTCCGTCCTCGCCTCTCAGGCCAGCCTCATTCTCCTTCCCGTCCTCCTCCTCGCCTGCCTCCTGCCCCTCCCCCTCCTTTCTCTGGGGTTGACCGTTGGCAGACTGGGCCTTGCGGATGCAGCCCAGGATGCACTGACCAAGAAGCAGCAAGAATTTCCCTGAAAGAAAATCTTCAAATCTCAGCACTATCGGTGGTTATAAACTACAATATTTGGTTGAAGCACTCAGAAATTTACCAACGCATGCAAACAAATGTGCATGACTACACTCCCAAGTATTTGGTGGTCTTTAGTGGACAAAATAAGAATTTGTGATCTTGGTCAAACTCAGACAACTATTGTATATTCAACAATCCAGGCATATACTTGGCCCTGAAAGCAACACGGAAAAGAGTTCCCTACAGACCCATACAAAGATAATGATTACAGTACAGAATGTTCATAAGCATTCTTCTGGGACCATTCATTTGCAGCCCCCCCCCTTTCTGAAATGGGACTAAAGACTAATATTTTGCTCATATCTCTCTAGACACTAGAATTTGAAAATCAAGCCATTTTCACAATCGTGAACCAGAGAGGATCTAAAAACAAAAACCAAGTGAAATAAACTAAAGTAATAAATGGGAAAGTTTGTGGTAGCACCATGTGAAGGAAATATCTCTTATGAGTATGTGTGGTTCTGAAAAGGGCCGGGATTATACTCAACGTTTCGGACTGCAAGCTCAGTCCGTCGTCAGGAAATTAAAGAGATGGTGATGCAGAAGCTGTTTATGCTGGACCCCGTCTGGCATGAGTGCCCAGCTGAATCCACCACTAGCATCCTTGTCACACCCCACTGCATCCAGTCACCTTATATAAACAGCTCCATCTTCAGCATCTCTTCAGTCTCCCGTCGACGGACTGAGCACGCAGTCCGAAAGGTTGAGCATACTCCCGGTTCTTTTCCGAACCACACATACTTATAAGAGATATATTCCTTCGCACGGTGCTACCGCAAGCCTTTCCACTTATTGCTGTCTTTCACCATGAATAGCCTAAAATTCCATCTAAACTAAAGTAAGCAAAAAGTATACATACAAGCAGATAAAATAAACTCCTAGCAAAATCTCAAAACATTAACCAAGCTGAACAGTATATTTAGGAACAAAACCTGTAATCGCAGTGGTCAAATCATAAATACTGCTCCTGTCCTGTTCAACAGAAGACAGAGAGATGCTCTTACAATTAAACATTACAATGGAAATGTGTGGAACATGTTCTGTTCAAAAGACAGTTGTAGAGAAAAATGTTTACAAAGCCCACCTGCAGTAGCTACTGACATATGTCGGTGTGCATACTGATAAAAAACCCTAATAGCCCCAGGATTAGTCTGGATGAGGGCAATGCACCGTTCTATCTGGACTTCACCAGTCCTGTCCACTGGCTGGAGCGAATTGAAGAGCAAGGAGACGAGGCGACGAGCCACAGGGGCTGAGTCCTCCACCAGCTGGCCGAGCAGATGCTCCATCGGGGTTATACTCCAAAACTATCCAGAATACGCATGGAATGTTACAGGAAAACAACTTATCAATGGCCTTGTCCAAATTTTCCATTTGTTAGGAATGAGTTATGCTGCTCCAACATCAAAAACAGACTTTTAGAAAACCATGTTCAGTGGGAGGAAATCTGTTACCACGTTGCGTTTCAAGGAAAGTTAACATACATAATTGAGGAACTCAACAGAGCAAGTAAAGTTTCAGATTACGTACACATTTAATGCATGTATGCATGACTCCATGACTTGGCTACTTTCATTTCATTTCACTTTCAACTCATAATCTGGACAACTTGTATCTTTTAATTATTCTTGGAGGTTCAAGTTATCAGATGTAAACAGCAACCAACAAAAACGTGATTGCGCCACCAGCACGTGGTACACATGGCCTGGCCGCGGCTTTGTGACTGATTTTATCCTTTTTAGATGTTTTGTAGCGTGAGAACGTGCAGATTGGGCCTATAGATAGGCTGGTCAAGATTGCAGGTATTTCAATTTGAATTTTTAGTAAATTTATGGGAGAATCAGCGATGACATTGCATCATCACTTTTCTTCGGCTCCACTTTGGCTCCTCTTACCTTGATGGTTCTCAGCCCTTTGACCTTTAGCAGGAGATCAACAAAGGCCACACGGACCTTTTCCGAGGTGTCATGGATGAAGTCTTTCAAGATGGGCAGCAGGTTCTTCAGCAAAGGGTGACTCAGATGGTTATCCAAGAGGTTCGTCAGACCCTGAAAGGATCACGGACATAGAAAAAGCACCTGTCAGATTTTATTTCAATTAGAACTTGTCTGTGAAGTTTCTCACTTAGTCCCATCTACAAATGCACATGACGCCAGTAGGTCCCACATATGACTTGTGACCAGAATTTGCTCTCGATTTATGCGCAGTACAGTGAAATATAAGTCGAGTGGCATTGACAATGGAAAGAAATCTTAACTCAATGGCCATCAGCCAAATATCAAAGTTGACAGTGAGAACGAAATCACTGCAAAGCACAATCTCGTCATTTCTTGTGCTGTGCAGTAAAACTACCAATAAGAATTCCTGAAATCCATGTGAAAACCGTCAGTGTTTACATGCCTACAACCGTACAAGGCACCAGCGGCGTGAGTAACAAAGCCAAAGAAACAAATCCTTCTGAATGACTCTGGGTTACCCTGTGAACTTCTCACTCCACCAAAACGTAAAATTTCAAAATTGTCGGGAATCTTTTTCTTCTCTACTTTCTGCAATACTTCACCTTAAAGACAGAAGCCCTGACATCGGCTGTACTGACGTCAAATGCCATGTCTCTGATGAGTTTGGTAATGAAGGCCTCCAGCGTGTGGCCTGGTATCAGCTCCCAAAAGACACTGGCAATGCGACAAATGCCATGGACACCGGTCACACGGACTACCGGGCAGGGGTCATCTAGCAGATCCTATTGAATAGGGCAAGAAACAATGTTCAGTGGCATTATTGGTCTGGATTTAAATGGCATTTACTGATCTCCATATTGTGGATGTACACGTATCTCTGGAATCTGCTAGGGCTGTGCCGATTCTTCATTTACATGGATATTTAATTAATTATTGAATATTCAAATATTTATTTCCACAACTAAAACTACAAATTTGAAAGAACCACACCTCAGAGTTTTGATTTGGTGTGCATCTAAGAAATGTTTACCTGGAAAATGTCAAACTGTTTTTGAGTGAGAGCGTCAGAGTCCTCCTTGTTTGATTCTGGATCTTGCAGAGGGAAGGCGTCAATCAGGAGAGCAGCGGCATTGGCACGTACACTAGCATTGGCAACCTAGCAGGCATCCAGAGGATCGAATAGAGGAAAGTCAAGACTAATAGCTAACATTGGTATCAGCAAGATAAACATCCATGGGGTGGGACACAGAGGCTTCCTCTGGCTTCAAAGAAAGGGAGTCTAAAGTAACTGTTTCATCTTGCCAATGTGAGGGCAAAGGATGAGGCCACTTGTTTAAAGCCATATCTGCCCTTGGCCCCTTAACCCTAACACTCCTCCATCCTTCACCTGTTGGAGGACTGAGGAGTGTTAGGGTTAATTAACATAATTAATTGCTACAGTGATCAAACACTTGTTGCATACTGTTGGATGCAGCTGTTGACAGAAGTGGTTGTGTTGGATATTGTTGCATGAAGCAAGTTACCAAGAGGAAAATAAGACCATGAAATCATCAGGAATTAGAAAAAAAAACTTCACAATTACTTGTGGAAGACTTTGGCAGAGCACATCATTTTTTTCAGTTTACAAAACTATTCCTGCCTGGTCCTAACAAATTGTTAACTTAGTGATAAAAAGCACATATTAATGGATATGGAAGAATCTGGTCTTGTTTCCGTGAACAAAAATGTGTATGTGACCTTTTCAGCATTGGAAATGTATGAAAACATCACGAAACGAGCGCCTGGTGCTTAAACAATGAAAATACTTTTCTGGTGAGATTCATGTCTTGCAGTGTCATTAATACAAGGTCACAGCATTACTCTGATGACAGTTTAATGTGTGTCTAACAGGATTTATTTAAAGCAACATTTTAAGATAAGGCACAGTAAGTACAATATGATAGCTCCATGTACGGTACAGGTCAGAATTTTAGCTGACATGCAAACACGCTTAGCATGTCAGCGTATGTCGAGTCAAACAGACACAAAAGGAGTTACCCGTGAATACGAGACATGCTGACCCCTGCATAACAGAGAACGCCAGCACTGTAATCCAATCTGCCGAGTATAAACATGCACACGCTACACGCAAACCCTAGAACAGCCAGGCCCTTGTTGACCGGAGCAGTCATTTTCCTAGTTTCCCACAACGAAAAGTATTCAGTTTGACTGCAGCTCAAGTTATCTTCAAATTCCAGGGAAGTGTTGCCAGTATTTTACCTTGTATGTAGCAGGCATCACAAAATCATTTTGTTTGTCCATACAGGATCGATGAAAGTGCCATGCAGGCAACACTTTTTGTTTATGTCTGAATTGTTCACAAAATTTCTGAGTCTAGCACAGAAAATATTCGAGCATGAGATCAATTTTTTCAACTGAGATGATTATAACTAGCAGTTTTTATGACAAAACATTTCCTAAATTAGAGAAAACTATTTTTCAAGAAATCCACAAAATATAAACGGGGTTTGACCTTGCCGGTCCACTAGCCAAGTTTTAGTCAAGACGGCCCCCATGGCGGCGATCCTAGCATACACACTCGAGCTCAGTGTGTTCAAAATCGCATGAATATAAATTCAATGTGAGGTGGGGATTTTTCCCATCAGCTTTCAACCTTTGAGCTGAAAAACCTACCTAAAAATGGATCTGATTGTGACAATATTAGGACCAAACTGAACGGTAAAAATTGTTCCAAAATGAAAGGAAGTCGGGTCTGCACTAGCAACGTGCATGGACTGGCTACACACAACGGACAAAGTAGCCCCCATGTGAACTTCATAAATATGCATATCGTGTTAGCATGTCGGCTAAAGTTCTGACCAATACTGTACTTAGGACCTCATTGTAGGTACATTAACATTTGATCTTGTAACTGCAGTAACAGGTCTGAAAGGTAAATGCTGACCAAGTTTGCCTTATTAATATACGTTGGGTAAGGGCAAACCTGTTATATATAATTAACATCTTGAAAAAAAAGTTTGCCTTACCTTAACCGCTCTCCATATGATTGGTTCGTAGAGAGCCAGAAGCATTTTATCAACACCTTGCTGGCGTTTCTGCTTGCAGAAGTAGCTCAACAGCTGCAAGTAAACAATTGCCGACGCAACTTTCATTATAGATTTTTAAAAAAATTGGCAAACCAGGGTGATAAAAAAATCTGTTTTTCCATAAAGTCGAGCACTCAGCAATTTCCAGAACATTCTAGGAAGTGTCTATAATGAGTCCTTAAAAAAAACTGAGGGAAAGAAGACTTAACAAAGAACTGTGTAAGGGATGGCAATAGTAATGAAAGACGTACTTATCCATTCTAAAAAACTTTGTTGACGTATAAACTGACAGTAAAATTTGTTGGGATAATGGATAAAACATCTTGACAACTGTTGACTTGTTGCTGAACATTTTACAAATACAAATTCTGTACCAAGCTCCACTCAACTCAACAAAATACTCTTAGGAGAATTTTCATATTTTGGCTTTCCTTACTCATTACCACCATGACAGAAGAATCTTTGATCTTTCAGAACACAACATAATTAGCTGAAAACAATCAAGAAGTTGTAAATATGATGCAATATGAAGAGAACAGCAATAGTTGTCATGCAGTCAAGGTACATGACCAAGATGGCATCTCATACCTGTCTCAATGTTGAAGCCAATGATCTTGTGCCAACACGGGAGGCATGCACAGCATGATACATCAAGTCTTGGATACAATATTTCTCCAGTTTCTGCAATGGGAAGGCTCACTAATATCAGCTCCAAATCAACGTTGAATATTTCTTACATTATCTTTAATTCAATTTCTCAGTGAAACTATGTCACGGTATATCAGCAAGACATGGCAACACTTCACTGGGCGGGCACGTCACATGTTCTTATTTGGTCGTGCAAAGCATACATGATCAACATGTACACAAACAGGGTCAGAATTGGAAACCACATTCCTTGACTTTTCCAGAACTATCCAGGACTGAAATGTGACATTTAAGACCATTTTGCAGAGAAAAGATGTTTGATATCATGAACCTGAAGGCTGCCATAGCCACTTCTACAGACTGAAAAGGATATAGCCTGTAATCATTAGTGTATTACCACATCAAAAAAGGCCCATTAAAAATAACCCTTACCTGATCTTGATTTTCATGACATTTCTTATGACTTTTTCCCTCTGACTACAGGATTCCAGGACACCCTATTTTCCCCCTAATTTTTCACGACTTTTCCGTATTTTACCGTTATTCATTATTTTCTCTAAATGGCAACTATTAATAGCATAACTCTGCATTTCAATAAAATCATCATGTATTTGATTTCTATAAAGGCTGTTGAAATGTTAAGCTGAAAATATAAGCCCTTACCTCCAACATGGGACCACTAGCCACTCTCCAAGCCTTGAAGTATATCTCGCCATAGGAATCAATTAAGGACCTAAATATGCATGTGAGATAACGATTTACATGTGATGTCATCATTTCCCACATGAAAGCAAATCCAGGCTCTTCTCATGACTACAAAAGGACTTCTGATTGTAAAAAGTTGAAAAAAAAAAACAAAATCAGTCACAACATCCCGTATGTTTGCTAGTTAAGCCTTATATTTGTTATTTCTTTCTTATTTATGCAATTTCTGAGCTTTTTGTACAAAGGGTTTTGTAAAGCTCCTTTGGGTTGGAAGCGCCTAGATACTTGCAGGGAATTACCTGGGGCAGACTGGTAGCTGGGTCTTGATGGTTTTATGAAGTCTCTCCAGGAAGGTTGGACTCATTGTCAATAGGAAACTCAAGAATCGACGACCCTGCATTAGCAACAGAAAAGCCCAGGAGAATTCAACATTCATTACCCCACCAAAAATGTCAAAATGTTACCACATTATAAAAACTGAGTGGAATGCAATCCATGATAGTAAGTGGCATGAAATATTTGCTCACTGAAATACAAAGGCGGAAAAGTTTCTCCTTTTTTTCAGTGATTTAAAACCCTGCTTGAATTGAAAACTGAAATACTGGTTTATCAAAACTTTAAAACGCCTCATTCTGAATGAATTACCCTTCTTTACGTTTCAAAAGGATTACCAACCGATGAGTATAAGCTTCTATATGTTTAACTGTGGATACCTTCATCCGTGGAGCACACAAAGAAATCAAATTTTACGGAAATCTGAAAATAAATAACAGACCTCTCCGAAACTCAACAATACAGACAATATGAAGTTGAGCTAAAAATCTCAACACCTTCGCCGACAAATGTAAGCATCATTCCAATTTCATATTTTGTATCTGTTTAAGGCTTCCATTTCAAACTGGGTATTTAGATTCTACTAGGAGGGAATAACAAGGACTCTAAAAATTGGTAGTTCTCTCATCAAAACAAGCCGTTGACGACAGGGGACCCTACCCACCTTGTCTTGTTTAAGGTAATTGCGTCTGGTCATACACTGCTCCAGGAGATCCTTCAATGTTGCACTACTCTCTTCCTCCAGATTAATCTTGCTCAGTGCCTGGCGTAAGCCGTCTACACTCTTGACATCAGCGATTGTGGCTGTGGGCTGTAGGCTTCTGACTAAGTAGTACATGAGGGTGTTAGCTACAAGCTCTTCTTGCCCCGCGTGCTCACCGGCCCACCTGGCAAAACATCAGAAAACGTAACGTTTTCGGCAGGAATGTCTCATTTCAATTCTTAAATGCGAAAGTGCACAACTGAAGGGCTGACTAGAGTTGATATATTGGCTCTTGTTCCAATTAGAATGGAGGATTACTTTGGGAATATCTCAACTATCACATAAAACACAAAGACATGTTTATGGTCATTTTATCTGAGAGCAACAATTAGCATGCTTGCAGGTGACACTGTAACACATACCCACAGGAAAGATCCACTTAAAATGAGTCCTTAAGTCTGGACTAAACGCTCAACCATTTTCTAGACTCAAGTTGGAGTTGCTGGTGACAACAAAGAGTGGAACATTTTGCAGAAATCAGTGATTATCAAATACACGTTTAATACAGGACTCAAACCTGATTTTCTGAAGTCAATGCATTTTTGGTAACTTTTTTCAGTAAATCACTATGACTCATCGTAAACGTATCTTTCCAAATAGCTTAATCTACATCCATAAGATACCAATGACCTTACAGTGATGTCTTTTTAATATACATCAGAGTAAACTTCCAGGCAGCACACCAACATCTCATGACTTACAGGCAGGGTAACAAAACTTTCATACAAGCCGTCTTTATATTCTCGTCAGGGGAAAGACTGTATTTAAAAAATCTGCAAATGTGCATACCACTTCTCACAAAGTTTGGCTATTCCTTGCTGAAGCTTGCTGGCTGAGTCTGGAAGATCTAACAAGACACCTACAAAAAGTCAAAATGAACAAATAAAAACCAAGGGCCATTATTTTTCTTCTTAAGAACAGTAATTTAACCAAATTTACAATCCTATAATTTTTGAATTTTGCTTGCAATTTCCTATTGTCTTGGCCTAAAAATGTTCGCTCAAATAACTACTTTCCCAACGCCACATTATGCACACATAAATTCCTTTGTATACTTGACTTCAACAATTCAAATGGGGATCATCAAGATCAGGCACTGATTCAACTGGGAACTGTGGAATGTTAGTTGAGACACGGGAATTTGAACTAGATAAAAGAAGATTAATCTGAACAATTTGAATCTGATCTATTTCAAAATATCTACGTTATTTTGCCTTTTCCTGCCATCTTTGTCTATTTTAAGCCCAAGGTGGAAAATTTCAACAAAAAAACCTTAGACGGTGACTAAAATCAGTGAGATGGGCCGCCTCACACTTAAATAGGCAGGGCAAACACTGCTATATGCCTTAGATATGACAGCTTGGAAACCTCCTCCTGTATGACTGTATGAAGCAAACAACAAGCCTGTCTTTATGAATATTTGGCTCTTGTGAGCACAGAGTTGTGGATTCTAATCCCATCCAAGCACACTTTTGATCTTTTCCACAAAGTTAGACAACACTGCAAAAACATCAGTTGTGCTGGCAAAAGCCAAGTATAAAATTAACGTCCCTGACGCAAAGCCAGTTAACATCATTTTCAGAAGTGGCTGTGCTGTTACGATAAACATTAAAATCTGGAAACTTGTCTTCATCTAAATGTATATTGCAGGTTACTAGACGGATACTGGGTATCTACTGACTGGCAAAAGTCTACAGAAAATGTTAAAGCAAATGCATTGCAGTTACCTCCAAAGAAAACTGGCCTCTACAAACAGTTAGCACTGCATACTGCATGTGTACACTGGACACCGTCTCATACACTCACCATGCAGATAAACAGCTGTCTCAAACATAGGCTGAGTAATGATTGGCTTCTCCATGGTCAGACACATAGTTGCCACGGTAACAATGCCCTGGAGGCAGGCATGGGTTGCTAAGGAAGACTCCTATGTGTACGTGTCAAAGGTCAAACAACAAGGGTTGACACAATTAAAGCAAAGAAATCACGATTTACAACAAGGTTATTACAGATATAATAACTAATGGAAACTGCGCCGAGTTCACAGAAAACAAAACAATTATACCTTGAGAGATAAACTGTAAGTTTAACTTATTTTTTCATAAAAATAAAAAGAAACATGGGAAGACGGGAGAAATAACATAAAGGTTATTGGTTTTGATTATCGTCAGAAATAATAGTGACTAGCACACTTGTACACACCCAAACATATACATGTATACCCACTCCAAATAGTGACAACAGCAACTGATAGACTGTGTCTATTTATTCCGTTGATTTTGAGTCTTAGTTTTCTGACACAAGTTGCAGCCAACTGAAAAGAGATTACAGACTCACACTTTTCCTGCGAAACCTTCTTTGCGACATCTTGGAAAACAAGATCATTACATACATGTATTTCAAATCCATGCTCAAAAATTTACTGATGACTAATTTACGATCTGTATAGACCTTGATAGAGCACAGATCTGTGCCCATCTGTTCTGAGTTGAAGTGCACCCTCACTGAGAAAGGAAGGCTGGTGTGAAGTTTTCCAGCCGGGTTCCTGCAAGCGTTAGGCACGCACCCAAAGACCAAACATTCCAGCAAAATTACATTGCATGTACTCAGCATGGCCCGTGACAAATGTGCATAAACTTGCGCATACATGGTGAGTTCGTACCAAAAGACCGTCATGTTCATTTAAAAATATGCCCTCTTTTGTTCCCGCTTGGAGCAGAGACCAAAATGCACAGCAGAACTGACAGAGCTAAACACAATAAAAACAGAATTGTTCCGACAACTTCCTATTGCAAGACCAGACCATGGTTATTGACAGCTGTTGGGAATGCTGAACTGACCTTGTTCCCTGCCTCCTCTTCGCTACCTCCTGCAGTTTCAAATGGTGAATGGAGAAGAGTAGATGCACACATCTGATTGAGACCAGACCAAACACGTTCGTACTGCTTACGGGACAAACTCTGCAGAACCTCCTCAATGGTGAAATCATCATCTTTGGCATTCTAGAAATTAAAGCCAAGGCTGAAGATTTAGGAAATTAAAGTCAAACTTAGGACCCAAGAAAACAAAAAAGCCAAATAAGTTACAATTATGAGACTGTTTGCTGTGAGACAGACTTTGACAAAATCAAAAGTTTGCTATTCCTTGGTATTCCATATTCCACCTGTTACATTCCTGGTCCATATTTAACTGATGTTGGCACACAGACAGGTGCTGACAAGACACACTGGTATCATTTGCATGTCATATATATACATGCATGTGTTGGAAACTAAACACTAAAGATGCTAAAAGGTTACCAATGTTGTCACGTGGTCAAGGCAAAAAGTGTTCGGACTGCCAGAATGTGGAATACATTGCATAAGCGGTAGCAATCAGGCTTAACTTGAAAGCCGCAATTCTTGGCAGTTTTTGGCCCTTATTACAAATAGTCCAATTACTATGGTAATGCCCAATGTATCTCCATGATCGCAGCGATGACTCCAGATGCCATTCTCTCTTTTGTGACTCTGTTTGTTATTTCTTTTGCAGACTGAGCAAATAAAAACGTTGAGTTCAACACAATCACCAGTGCCTTGGGTGTTCCAAGGTGCAGAGTTGCTTTATTCATGAGCATTAATCAGGTTGGGGACCAAACCACAATGTAGCGGCGTCCCTAGTTGCTGCTTATGTCGCCTGTTCAAGCGGAAATGACATCATCTTTATCAGGTCACGTGATAATGATGTAATTTTCCGCATGATTTTGGGAAAATAACAAGATTTGAAATGCCGGCAGCCAACATGGCCGCCATTGCAGTTACAGTTGGAGTCAACGGCAAAATTGTTTCCGATCGCTAGTTTGGAAAATCAACACGGTAAAAATAAAATTTGCCATGGTGAATCGATAGAGATTTTTAATGGCAACATTTTCATGCATAAAGTAAACTTCAGCAAAGCTTTACTGTTTTTGTGTAAACATTTTCATTGGCAGAATTGGACTCCTCTGCCCAACGAATTCAACACATCCATTGCAAGATTTGACCGAAAAATCTCCTCGATCCGCTTTTATAGACACCAAATGAAAGGAAAATTTCATTTAGATCTTGGGTAGCATGTTTCCTGTAAATTTGATCAATCAGAGGAATTTGTTTTGAAGTTTTTGGCTGATAAAGAGATCGATGTCATCTGCGAACTATGATCTAAAAATAGTTCAAAATTACATGTGTGTCATTGTTGCACAAACAAGTGGCGTATGAGTAGTCTGGCGTCGTCACTAGATTGTGGTTTGGTCCCCGACCTCTTAATATCCTATTCTTGATATAATAATAAGAATGACAAATTACTTGGAGTTAAAAAGAGTTTAAAGTTATTCAAGTTTGACTTAACGTGATTTCACTGTACAAAGAAAGAAGGGGTTCTCATGTTAAAGGGAGTTGTGTATTAAAATGTTACAAATGTTTGCTCACGTGCCGCTGCAGGAAATGAATGAATTCATCTCGATCATCATTTTCAGCAGCTTCAAGGAAAGCTTCACGCAGACAGCTTGGGGCCACCATCCTTTTCTTGTAGTGTGTTATTTGGGCATTTCCCTGGAGAAGTTTAAGAGTAAAAAAAAAAATTAGTAAATGTAAGTATCAAAGCAAATCAATAAGGTCATAAGCCGTGTCAAATTAGAGGGGACAAAACCATTAAAACCCTTTCATCAGAGGGGTAACATTATTATACTACTCTCGTTGGGTGTCGGTCACTTCGCCCCATGCCACTTCACCCCTAACCACTTTGCCCCATTTCCACTTTGTCCCATTTCTGCTTTGCCCCATTGATTATCGTTCATTCTGTTCTTCAGTAACAGAGGCATAGGCCTAGATGCAACAAGTAAAAACATTGATGTTTGAGTACCCAAATAACAATCAAAGAATCCAACTTTCTAAGGCCAAAACAATGCTTCCGATTTCCAGGCTGCCGGACCCAAATTTTTCGGCTATGTTGCAATATTTCTCCATGTTAATTCTTAGTATTTTGCCTGTGTATTTTTTGTGTTCATCGGTTTAATTTTAGGTTGTTTTGCTTGTACTTGAAGCGGGCGTGTTTCCACAAAATTTCCTGAGCGCCGAGCTTTATCCAATCGCCCTGGTACAGCTGTCTGGATGCATCAACAATTACCAGAACAATGTGAACAGAATTGCAAAGATATGTAATACAAAACTGCTGCAAACTGCTTGCTGACTGCAATCACCTAAAATACAAATCTCAAAATATGGAGGGCCTGACGTTTCGATCCTAGCAGAATTGAAGGGGAAAGATTCTGCTAGTGGTGCTAGGGCCTACTGGGATCAAAACGTCAGGCCCCTCCATATTTTGAACAGAATTGTGTGTCGTTTCGAAGTTGGCCTAAACTGGAACTTGAAGAGGATGATAAATAAACCCAATGCCAATGGTTCAACCATATGTATTAATTCACCATAATTATTGGACAACGCAGTCGACATTAATTTAATGCTGTCATGGCTGTAGAGTTTTCTATAATAACTAGGCCTAGGCCTACTGCAAGTTGTTTGTGGAACTCCCCACTCGACCATTTTTTGAAGAGGCTTGTAACACACTCGAGCACAGATGGCAAAGTAGAAATGGGGTGAAGTGGGGATAGGGCGACGAGGAAATGGGGCGAAGTGACTTTAAACCCTGTGGTTAGTGCTACATGTATCATAGTAATTAGTATTGTTATGCCCCAACTATAGCATCAGTCCCAACTATATTTAGGTGGGCCTGTCCCAACTAGAGTGAAAATGCCACATTTTAGAAGAATTGTGTCAAGTGTGAGACACATGGACTTGGATAATGTTGAGACATTTCCCACAGACATTGGTCAACAATAGTTGGACCAGCCCAACTGCAGCACTACAATTGGGACTGTCCCAACTATAGTTGGGACTTATGCTATAGCTGGGGCGTAACAGTATCACGATCAATCATCATCATGCCTGGCCATGATTAGGCACACGGAGCGTAGTCTCGACGACCAACAGATACATGACCGCCAACTCCAACAATCACTTAAGTCTTACATACTTCAAAATTAGTTACTGAGGTCTTAGCTATCAAAAAACCCAATAACATTAAGATGCCCCAAAACGTTACTTACCGAGTAGCAGCAACGCAGCATCCGTTTCCAAATTCGGCGCGCAAAATACAAATTCCTATGTATCACTGGTTTCCCTACACATTGCGATTGCTTTTCGCTGGGGTGGAAATACCAGTTTCTCCACAGAAGATTCGGATGTAGACTACATGACGCACAATTAGCTACGGAAACGTAGCGTTGCAACTTTTAACATTAAAACGTGTATTATGAATGAGGTAAAATAAAGCATTGAACAGTTAAGAGAAAGTTAAAATTAGTCAATTATAACTAAGCAACAGAAAAATTTATTACAAGCATATCATTCAAAAACTTACTTGTAGTATAACGGTAGTAATAATAATTTAACATCCTGCGTACTCTTTGATGGAGAATTCACAAGGAATTCTCGGAACAAAACTCACTGTGGTGCATGTATTTAATTCGTTACAGCCGTGTCCTGAAAGTTTCTCGAATGCGTGCGTGTGGCGACTAGTGGGCTGGGGGCCTTGTATTTAAATTAAAAATAAGGCCCTCCACTTGTTTGTTAATTAAGTTTTCAAAATGGCATCGACCTCGGTAAGAATTTTTTTCTGTTTTCATGTGAGTCACTTATCTTAAAAGATTTCTTCGAATGTTGGTTAATGTGTAGGCCTAACGTTAGCGAGGCCGACTTGTGCATGATTTCCGGCTATCGCGGAGAAAACAATCCGAGGTGAACGCACTTTTGCCATGCAAAGGAACGTAAAATCAAAATGTCGACAAGAATATAATTATAAGATCAAATCAGTGCTCTGAAATATATGATTGCCGAGCTTTCGGTAACTGAGTACCTTCTTCAGGGCAGGCAGATCCCGTTCTGAATGAACGCGGAAAAATCCACGTTCATTCCCCCTGGATGCAGCGTTCCAAGTTCGAAAATGACGCGCTGCTCCAGTTCCTTACGCTGTACATCAGATGACGCTTTCTGCAGAATGCAGACACGTCATCGAGGGAATGTGGCGGCATGGCAAGGATTAAGTCATTGTTAATTAACTTTAGTAGCCTAATGTTTTAGGTCTACAAGGAAGTTGTATTTCCCTTTGTTGCTCATGATACATGTATTTGCAATTTCAGAGTCTCAGACTTTAAGGTCTCAGTCTAGTCTCGGACCATCAGGTCTCGGTCTCAGACTTTAAGGTCTCAGTCTCGGGCCATCAGGTCTCGGTCTCGGACTTCCAGGTCTTGACTACAAGTTACACTTGTAAAACCTATGTCGCCATAATTTGCGCACGTATCACATCTGAAAAATCTGCAAGTTAATGTCTCTTGAATGAGGAACTATTTTTTGCATTAATTACTTTTGTTTAGTGATGCAGAAAAACACTTTTATGGGCAATAGCTCTACCTCCCATCACTCTCTCTTTTTCATTCTCTTAGATCTTAATTTTTTTTCAATTTAATTTGAAGTTATAGTGAAGCATCAATTTTTATTCTTTCCAATAAATCAGTTGGCATTCATTGTGAGTTATTGGCATGCATGCACGGACAGAAAAAAACGAGGTTGTATCATATACATGTACTGTACGTTTATGATGACAGCAATGCTACTCTGCAGTGAACACATGAAGTCGAGTCGATAAGATGCTGGTGCCCCCTTTGTGCCCCCCCCACTAGTAAAATCCTAGCTACGTACGTGCCCTACTGCTGCAAGCATGAAGTGCACACATGTTTATACATGTATGCTAATTATTGCCCATAATGTACATCGTAAAGTGTGTATCTAAAAATATGGGCAATAATTTGCCTTGACACTTATTGTCATTTTTCTTAGAAAAGAAAGGCCTCCAATCGTGTCAATCCAAGATGTTTCCTATTGGCCCACAAGCGAGCTGTTCAAGGGCATGAGGTGTGCGTAAAAGTGGCATAACCCTTTTACTTTCAGGAACTGTGGAAAAAAGATTGATAAAGATATGAACTGAAACTTTTGTTGGTTGGTTAGTTGTTTGTTTGTTGTTTGTTTGTTTGTTTGTTTGTTGGGTTGTTTAAAACAAGACAAAGATGCAATGTGAACTTTAGGTCCTACATGAACATGTAGCCATGTACGTGATGTACATGTAACTTTACACCTGTGTGTGGTATGTCATGAATGGTATTTTTTGGAATGTTTCAAGGCAAATATGAGTTGGGTTATATGGAAGGTCCCTTATTTTGTATGATATGACATGGAATGACCCTACTGCAAGCTACACGTATACTTGTACATGTGCTGGGAGCTATGACTGTAGGCATATGTAGGCCTACCCGAACTCTAAAGAAACAGATGGCATGTGCATCCCTGTGGTATTACATCAGCGGTATAGCATCCATGACATGGCTCGGCTGATTTGTTCTCTGTAGCTCATTTCCTCGTCAGATGGTCAGAATGGTATTAGCCCGCACACTGGCAGTGAGATTGTTGAGGCATGTCAACAAGAGTTTCCCCGGCCCTTGATGGTTGAAGGGGCCCAGAGTCGAGTCTTATTTGATTCCAATTCAGGAAACAGCCACAAGTTTTTTTCCCAAGGCTGAGTTTGCAACGCTCAGGAGCACAGCGTCTCTGCCAATATGTTCCCACGACTAGAAGTTCACCTGTTCCAAATGGCCTCATTATTGCCTGAAACAAAACTTCTAAAAGGGCTGAAATCCAAGAAAAATCGCACTTGCAGCCCCGTAAACCTTATCGCTGATACCACATGGGTGATCTTGAACTGTGATAGAAAGGCATTGTGCTTCCCAAAGAGCCCTTGTACCATCACCCATGTGGTATCAGCAATAAGGCTTATTGGCGAAGGGAATTTCACTATCTAGGTTTCGACCACAAGAAGGTGTAATGCAGGTATACACGTACTAGTTCATCTAGTTTCTCCAAGGGTCTCAGTCGAGAGACAACTAGAATGAAGGACACGCATTCACGGTCAGGGCAAGAAGTACATGCATACTCTGGCCAGGATGAGAAAGGCTCTTGGCAATGATGGTACTAGTAGTAACATCGGTCCTTCATGTATCCCTTTGGGCAGAATGCTTGAGTGAGGCCTACGCAAACCAGTGAAAACTGGCCGGAGGAGACACCGGCAACCATATTCTATACGGTCTGGGGATGGTTCAAGTAGATAATTCAGTAGAAGGCCAGTTCATGGTGTAACTACATGTAGACTATCAGCTAAGAGACAGAGATTAAGACGTGGAAGATGTTGGTCCACTAGACCAACATCAATCTTTGCGTCATGGATTTTTTCACACAGTTTTGGACCAACCCTGCCTTTTCTTCGGGTTTTTCCCCTTTTTCTATCTCTTAAGCTGCATGAACCAATTTGAGGACACCCCATGATCTGAAAACTCTCTATCTGTTTCTCCGACTCTTCTAGAGCATTGCTGTGAAACTGGAGGATTCACCGGTCGGTTATGAGGATGCCCCAACAGTTGATTTTAATGAAGCGGAGACATCTTGCGGGACTTCGTTTGATCAGGGTGCTAACTATAGTTATGGGGCAATGGAGTTTGGAGAACAGGACTGTTCTACTGGTCAGAATGAGTACGGAGGAAGGCTGATAAATCTGCTAACGGGGGCCCCTCAGCTCCAGCCAAGGGAGACGCCCTTTCCTATCAGCCTGACCAAGAAGAAGGAGTGCAGGAGGTACTTCAAGAAACGATGGACGCTGCAGTTTAAGTGGCTACGCTATGACAACAAGAGGCAGGTCATGTACTGCGCCATCTGCCGACAATTTGGGGTCGAGAAAGCGGGCAAGACGGGCTTTATCTCCGGGATCTCCCGCTTCAAGAAGGAGACCCTGGTGACGCACAACAAAAGTAAGAGGCACAATTACTGCCGGAAACTGATGCTGAATGCCGGCCTTGACATACAGGTGCCGGTCCCAGATGATCAGGATTTGCTATCTGTAACGGCGGCAGATGCTGTTCATAACATACATGTACATGTCGAGCCACCAGCTGTTGAAACCCATCCCTCTGCCCGTATGGCTCCTGCAGACCATATATCATCAGCTGTCCACACTCGACCTCCAACTATCCATATGTCAGGGGTGGCACGCAGATGTGTACCTCAAGTAGCCCATGCACCAGCCAGGAATACGTCAATTTTGCCACCTTTGATGACTTCTCTAGGTGTTCATCATAACACATGCAGGCATATTGTGAGGAGGAGCACCCAGGAATTGGACCATGTTTCCTACACTAACCAACTGGAGGTACATGTCTTTCCTACAGTGGAATTGAATCTGGGATCATAAACTACATAATTTAACAAATGCACATTTACTAGATTTACATACAATGTAAGTCTTGTTGCAGATCTAACAGGTTATGCAAAGTTACATGACTGTATATGTACATGCATGTACATTTCTATATTTATACATGTGTATGCACACGCAGAAAATAATTTGTGTCTGGTGCATGAAAAATTGTCGTGTAAATCTACATTTTGGATGGCAAGCACAGAATCCAAACTGTTTTGCTTTGGTATTTTATGCATGCACTGGTACGAATGTTAGGTTTGCCATCCAAAACAATAACATTGCTGTCACGTAGGACCAACCACATCTTTGATATACCATGGAAGTAGCCTACCTCCATGGTATAAATACATGTACTGCCATGTACCTGATTGTTATGGAATGCATGATTTATACGTGTACATTGTACATGAGGCATCCATATTGCCATACAAAATCCATGTACTTGTACATGTACCTGTTCTGTACATGCAAACATGTGCAAGGCACGAGTAGTTGGGAGATACGTAGTAGAGGTGAATTTAATCTTTCTTTTTTTTGTTAGTCCACGTAGCTATATAGGAGTGGTACCCCCCAGTTTACCTGGCAAAAACCTGCATTTTGTGGACCCCTGTGTAAAGTGATTGTTTTAGAGGCATGTTTAGGGTCTTTGTTCAGTAAGTAGGTCAGCAGCCAAGGAGTGCACATGTACATAAAGTCTGCTCTGAAGATGTGTGGGACCTGCAGTGGACTTGGTTGTTGAAGTTTGATTGTAGTTGATTTGTGCCTTTTCTTGATACTGTGTTTGGTTTGGGTTTTTTGGGGGTCGTTATTTTCTTAGTACCTGGTTCTGTTGTTTTTTTTTTACTGCTGATATTTATTGAGAGTCTTTTACTAAAAGGTTAAGGTTTACTGGGTCTGAAAAAAAAATGAATTTCCAGATCTGAAGTTTACGGTATGAGGTATTTTCACTAATTTTGTTTTTTTTGCGTTTCTTTGACTTTTCATTTTTGTTATTTTTTTTGTCGGCTAAGAAGTTGCTAAATAGATTGTAAATTTTTTTTTCTAGATTGGTTCTTGGTTGTTGAATAAAATATTTGTTTTTCTTTTGAATTTTTTTTTTTTTGAGATCAAACGCTTTTTCTGTTCCATCTTTTTTTTTAGAGAGAGACCTCGCGATTTGTCCTTAGTTGATCCCTAGGTAGGGAGTATTTTGTGCAAGTGATTTCCCCCCAGAGTTGTCTTCTTCTACGGTGTTCCATTTTTGCAGGTTACAGATACTTTACACAGCTAATGGATTTGTACAATCCCCATTTAGCTGTCTTCCTTCTTTATCTGTAAGAATTTTCTTGCTTGTAGCATTAGCAACAATAAATGACATCACCAAACCTCGTAGGTATTCACGATTGAGAGCCAAATTGTCACTGGTCTGCTCTTCCGCCCCGTACCCAGGCCAGTCCGTTTTCTGCTTTTTACCAGACAGGCGGGGATGTGTGCACTAGTCAAGCACTGTATGCTAATATGCTGAACTGTTCATTTATGAGCAGTCCAGTGGAGCTGTCAATCAGAGAGACTACACTGTAAGCACCCACTAGCATCATACAACCATATAAATTCTCAATGTATGTTCTTTCATTGAGGTCACGTTGCCTTGCTGATAAAGCAACTGAATATGTATGAGGTACATTTATGGTGGAACAAACATAACACGGTTTATTGGAAATTGACAAACTTGGCCCCCTGCTCCAGTGGAGCTGTCAGCCAGAGAGACTACACTATAAGCACGCACAAGCATCATGCACTCACATAAATCCTCAATGTTCTTTCATTGAGGTCACGTTACCTTGCTGATAAAGCAACTGAATATGTATGAGGTATGTTGGAACGAACATAACAGGGTTTATTGGAAATTGACAAATTAGTTCCCCTAGGCAAATAGTTTGTCATTTTCCAACTTGCAACAAATGAACTTGCCCCCCTCACACCTATCCTGTGTTTGTTCACTGTGCAAAACTAATTCTGTTTCTCGTCTATGTTTTGCCTACAATGTTCCATCATACTTTCTTCTCTTGCAGGCTGTAAGCTCGGAATCAGCCAGCGCCAAGTCTGCTGCAGAGGAGCTGATTGAATTTGTCAACAGAGCTCCATCTCCATTTCATGGTAACAATGAACTGCCTAAAAGGGTCAATATTCCTGTGATAGTTATCCCTAAGCCTTGTGCAACAAAAATGGAATATTGAGTCATTAGTCTCCGAGAAAAATTATAATGAAATTGGAAGACTACTCTGCAATGCTACGCGTACCTGTTACTGAATATTTGTTGAATTTTGCAGTTGTGAAATTCATTTATGATTATTTGTAATGTAAAGCTCTTGCTATTGTTGATGCTCTAGTGGTGGCTGAGTGTCGTAAACGACTCCTTGCCGCTGGCTTCTGTGAACTCAAGGAGAGGGAACCATGGGATTTGAAGCCTCTAGACAAGGTATGTGTATACTGTTCATGTTATTGACTTGATACATCCATCGTTACCCTGTTATCTGGTACCGGTATTTCCAAGAGATCTCCGTCCTCCTTATAGCTAGTCTTCATTCATCAGATATTTAATGATGAGGAGTCCCAACTCATGATTTGTGAAATCACCTGCACACAGTGTAGTTGAAGGCACATGCTTCGTGATAGTCATGTGAAAAGAAGCCTTGCGCGATGGCATCAATACAGAACAGGACCATGGACAGTAGCTTGGTGGCTGGGTGCACAGTCAAAGACTGTACGTGTACATTTTGACAGAAACGGCTCGCAAGTGCTCCACACGTCTTGTGCAAAAGCCGCACAAACATGTTGGGGCACGTGATACTTCCTGTGTAAAAAAAGCCATCACTTGCTCCAGTAAGGACAGGTAGTAAGTGTATGGTCCACTTCAGGTACTCTACCTTTCAATGACCTTTCTTTTGTTGCTGCATATTTCCTTTGGCAGTGTTTTGTGACACGCAACCAGTCCACCATCATGGCCTTCGCTCTTGGCGGAGACTATATCCCTGGCAATGGATTCACTATGATTGGTGCTCACACCGATAGTCCCTGCTTGAAGGTGATAATCATGTATAACCCAGCCTGACAAAATGAGTCATTGATTTGCCAAAGCCACTTTTGGCCTTGAAAAGAATCTTGCATGATTAAAATCAATTGGAACCCTTGACATTCTTCACCCACGTAATGTCCATTTTCATCAGAAAAACTGGCTGTGATACACGTTGCATCAAAAGGAAGAGCTACGGTGTGCTCTTTCTGCATTACACTAGAAGAAAAAATAACTGCAAGAAATGGCTTTAAGACTCATTTTGTAGGAGCCAATGACAAAGAATTGTGTTTATAGAGAACCCAGGCCAGACTTGTGATCATTGTTACATCACTAAGACATGATGAAGTAGACATAAACAGCCCATGGAAATGAAGAGAATTTCCATATTTTTTCCAAAACACCAGGATATGCATTTATACAAGGAATATTTCCCTCAACAAAAAAAATGATGACACATAATTTGTTAATATTTCAATGAATGTGATCCGTTGCGTTAAATATTAATGGCAAAAT